AAAATATTAAATGATATTTTACATAAAAATTAGTTACAAATAGTTTTATAATGTGAAATGCAATATACTACAAATAAAATATTATATATAATATAAAATAATTTACAGAATATATTATTATTATTAAATTAATTATTTTATAATTAATATAATAAAAAATGTCTTTTTTATATTCTATTAATTTAATTAATTTATAGCCTTATAAAATATTTAATAACTCATTTTTTAAATAAATTTATTTAATTTCAAAATGTATATTTAAATAATTTAATAAATTTATTTAAACAATTTTAATAATAAATTAATAATAACCAATAATAAATCATAATTTTAATAATAAGCAATAATTTTAATAAGAATTTAATAATTTTAATACTAAATTAATAATAAATTTAATAATAAATTAAAAATATTTCTTATTAATACTAATGCTTAATAATAATTAATTAATTATAACAAATAATAATTTACTAACTTTAATTATTAATAATTATTTTAAATAGTTTTAATTAATAATAGTTTTAAATATTTTTATTTAATAATTATTTTAAATAGTTTTAATTAATAATAGTTTTAAATAATTTTACTAATAAATAATTTAAGTTATATATTTCTAATTTTTTTTCTTATAAAATACAAAATAATTACATAAAATATCATTTAATGTTTAATAAACCTTTCATAAATAAATTTATTTAATTAAAAAAATAATTAAATGAATTGAAGAAAAAAAGTTGATCGAGAGAGGGGCATCGAACCCTGACCTCGTGCATAGTAAGCAGACGATATACCAATCAGGTAACGAACTCGTTGCGGTAAATTAAAATTTAATTGTATAAAAGCTAAGCATGAATTTCGAAGGCTAATTTCTCAGAATTGACTGGCCATTCGGCGGAATTACATTGAGGGGTGAACACTCTAAAGGAGTACTACTATTATACGAAGTCTCGATCCCAAATGAATTTCTTTAGTCGTGCCCTCCTCTTGTTAGTATTATTAACAAATCAAATATTCATAGATGTTATCCAGGCAATCGTTTCTTAGTAATGAATGGTTGGTTCTACAACAAATATTATTCTATCTAAGTGGGTTGAAAACATTCTTATTTAGAAAATCCATAAAACATTAGACTATTAACGTTTTTATAATAGATTGTCAATTCTGTATAGAAGTAAAAAATGAATTATGCATAAAAATAAATCTTCGAATTTCTTTGTACGTTTCTGTTTAAAAATCGTCTGCATTTCGGAATCCTCCGATGAATCGATTTCTTATTTCTTCTTCTACTGTGAGCTTATAATTTTCTTTTTTGTTTGTGTAAGAATCAATAAATAAACCATTAAATCACTTTATATATATTTTGCTGTCTTTAGAATTAATAGTATTTCTTATTCCTGAAATATTCCTGACAGTTTTTTTTTCTTTTGTCGTTTATCGTTTTCTTCTACCGAATTCCAATTAATAGGAAAGTAAATAACTAATGTAGAGTGAATCGATTAAAGGTTGGAATAAAATAAACGAGAATAAATTACGTCTTTTTCTTTTTATCAAGAGACACGGTGCAATTTAGTCAGAAATATATTCATTATAAAAATAGCTCAACTATGACGTATAATGCACAAGAATTTTGGCAGTATTAAAATGTTATTAATGAACAAGATGACTCGTAATTCATTTTTAAAAATTCGCAATAAAATTCAGATTAATATTAAATAAGTTTAAATATTTTATAACAAAATTATTATTATCAATTATTTATTACCAATAATCTTACAACGATTTTTAAATAAATATGGAATTTTTAAAGCAGTCTTTCACTGATGATTTATTAAAGTTATAATTAATGTGAATTTAAAAATTGTTACGAGTATTGATAATGAATGTATGTATTAGACAATAAATAATTATAAATTTAGATTATATTGAAAATTATTGATACTTAAAAAGAATAAATTTAGCAAGGATAACATTTAGATATAAAAAGATGAAAAGGTTTCTACAATTGATAAATATAAAGAAAACGTCGAATATTTTATGAGTGAAAGAAATTACTTGACTATTTATTTTTCGGTTGGATTTTATGGCTTATGATTTAATTTTTCACTGATTTATCTGTGAAGTAAAAATTTAAAGCTGCTTTATAAGTTATCAAAGTTGATACAAGAAAGGTTAAAATGAGATTAGTAAGTTACGCCTCTTAGAAAAAATAGATCAAAAAGTTAGATGACTACTTTGAAATCCATAAACTTCATACATCAATTCCTAAACAATTTTTTTTATGTGAAGAACATCGCTAAGGAATTAGTCCTGCATTATAGTTCTGAATATATTCAAGGTTTGGTATTGTTACGGTACATCAGAGAAGAAAAATTTAGCTATATTGTAACATTATCTTTGTAATGTCTCCTCTCTGAGATCAATTTTGAGAACAAGTTATATTTTTTGCTTTATTGTTGATTGTTTTTATTTTACATGTTATACTGCACGTAAATCATTCTCCAGTTTTATATTTTTCTTACGGCAAACATTTAGAGTGGCGTGGTAATACTTGTATTATCATTAATTCTTCTTTTTTACTTTTTTGATAGAATATAGAATAATGGGTGTTGTAATAAAATTGGTTATTTTTCATTAAACATACTTCTTTAAAAAAGATTAGCTTTTGTACTATTTCAAATTAAAAATCCTACTTTTCAACCCTTTTCATTTATAAAAATGTATATACTTTTTAATTTTTGCTTAAATGTCAAAAATTTTCAGGTTTTTAATTAGCCATAGAAGCCATCATAAACAGAGAGAATAACATCACCTCCTCCATAAATTCCCTACTCGAACAGAGGAATTACAAGGAGACACTCTATGTGCTATAATGGATACCTGCATATGTAAATACCGAAGGAAATGGAAATGTATATACTTTTTTATTTTTGCTTAAATATGAAAAACTTTTCAGAATTTTAATCAGCCTTAGAAGCCATCATAAACAGAGAGAATAAGATCACCTCTTCCATAAATTTCCTATTCGAACAGATGCATTACAAGGAGAAACCCTATGTGCTATAATGGATACCTGCATATGTAAGTACCGAAGGAAATGGACTTGCTGATTTTTTTGCCAAAAAGCCAGAGAC